GAAAGAAATAATGAATTGTTTAAGAAATGCAAGTCAAAACTACAATAAGGTACCTTCTCATTGGTCAGAATGGTGTAGAGAGAATCCAAATCGCTCAGTCATGTCCAACTCTGTGACCACATGGACTGTAGCCTGCCAGGCTCTTCTGTCCATGGCATTCTCCAGGCAAGAAAACTGGAGTGGGTAGCCATTCCCGTCTCCAGGAGACCTTCCTGACCCAGGGATCAAACTCAGGTTTCCTGCATTGTAGGCAGATTCCTTACCATCTGAGCCGCCAGGGAAGCCCCCTTGGTCAGAATGGCCATCATTAAAAAGGCTACAGGGACTTCCCTGGTGGTCCAGTGGCTAAGACTCCATGCCCCCAATGCAGGGGGCCCAGGTTCAGTCCCTGGTCAGGAAACCAGATTCCTCATGCCACAACAAAAATCAAAGATTAAGACCTAGCACAACCAAATAAATAAATGTATTTCTTTAAGTCTACATATAATAAATGCTGGAGAGGGTGTGGAGAAAAGGAAACCTTCCTATACTGTTGGTGGAATATTCCTACACAGTTGGTGGAAGACAGTATAGAGGTTGCTCAGAAAACTAACAATAGAATTACCAATTATTAGCAATCCCACTCCTGGGCATGAATCCAGACAAAACTATAATTTAAAAAGATATATGCACTCCTATGTTCATAGCAGCACTATTTGCAATAACCAAAACATGGAAACAACTTAAATGTCAATCAACAGATAAATGGATAAAGAAGACACAGTACTAATATACAATGGAATATTCAGTTCAGTCACTCAGTCATGTCCAACTCTTTGCAACCCCATGAACTGCAGCACGCCAGGCCTCCCTGTCCATCACTAACTCCAGAGTCCACCCAAACCCATGTCCATTGAGTCGGTGATGCCATCCAACCATCTCATCTGCTGTCATCCCCTTCTCCTCCTGCCCTCAATCTTTTTCAGCATCAGGGTCTTTTCAAACAAGTCAGCTCTTCACATCAGGTGGCCAAAATATTGGAGCTTCAGCTTCAACATCAGCCCTTCCAATGAACACCCAGGACTGATCTCCTTTAGGATGGGCTGGTTGGATCTCCCTGCAGTCCAAGGGACTCTCAAGAGTCTTCTCCAACACCACAGTTCAAAAGCATCAATTCTTCGGCACTCAGCTTTCATTATAGTCCAACTCTCACATCCATACATGACTACTGGAAAAACCATAGCCTTGACTAGACTGACCTTTGTTGACAAAGTAATGTCTCTGCTTTTTAATATGCTGTCTAGGTTGGTCATAACTTTCCTTTCAAGGAGTAAGCATCTTTTAATCTCAGGGCTGCAGTCACCATCTGCAGTAATCTTGGAGCCTAAAAAAATAAAGTCAGCCACTGTTTCCACTGTTTCCCCATCTATTTGCCATGAAGTGATGGGACAGGATGCCATGGTCTTAAGTTTTCTGAATGTTGAGCTTTAAGCCAACTTTTTCACTCTCCTCTTTCACTTTCATCAAGAGGCTCTTTAGTTCTTCTTCACTTTCTGCCATAAGAGGGTGTCATCTGCATATCTGAGGTTATTGATATTTCTCCCAGCAATGTTGATTCCAGCTTGTGCTTTCTCCAGCCCAGCATTTCTCATGATGTACTCTGCATATAAGTTAAATAAGCAGGGTGACAATATACAGCCTTGACATACTCCTTATCCTATTTGGAACCAGTCTGTTGTTCCATGTCTAGGTCTAGCTGTTGCTTCCTGACCTGCATACAGGTTTCTCAAGAGGTAGGTAAGGCGGTCTGGTATTCCCATCTCCTTCAGAATTTCCCACAATTTAAAGGCTTTGGCATAGTCAATAAAGTAGAAATAGATGTTTTTCTGAAACTCTGTTGCTTTTTTGATGATCCAGCGGATGTTGGCAATTTGATCTCTGGTTCCTCCGCCTTTTCTAAAACCAGCTTGACCATCTGGAAGTTCACGGTTCACGTATTGCTGAAGCCTGGCTTGGAGAATTTTGTGCATTACTTTACTAGCATGTGAGATGAGTGCAATTGTGCGGTCGTTTGAGCATTCTTTGGCATTGCCTTTCTGTAAGATTGGAATGAAAACTGACCTTTTCCAGTCCTGTGGCCACTGCTGAGTTTTCCAAATTTGCTGGCATATTGAGTGCAGCATTTTCACAGCATCATCTTTTAGGATTTGAAATAATTCAACTGGAATTCCATCACCTCCACTAGATTTGTTCATAGTAATGTTTCCTAAGGCCCACTTGACTTCACATTCCAGGATGTCTGGCTCTAGGTGAGTGTGAGTGATCACACCATTGTGATTATCTCGGTTGTGACGATCTTTTTTGTACAGTTCTTCTGTGTATTCTTGCCACCTCTTAATATCTTCTGCTTCTGTTAGGTCCAAACCATTTCTGTCCTTTATTGAACCCATCTTTGCATGAAATGTTCCCTTGGTATCTCTGATTTTCTTGAAGAGATCTCTAGTCTTTCCCGTTCTATTGTTTTCCTCTATTCCTTTGCATTGATCGCTGAGGAAGGCTTTCTTATCTCTCCTTGCTATTCTTTGGAACTCTGCATCCAAATGGGTATATCTTTCCTTTTCTCCTTTGCTTTTCACTTCTCTTCTTTTCACAGCTTTTTGTAAGGCCTCCTCAGACAGCCATTTTGCTTTTTTGCATTTCTTTTCCTTGGGGATGATCTTGATTACTGTCTCCTGTACAATGTCATGAACCTCCATCCATAATTCATCAGGCACTCTGTCTATCAGATCTAGTCCCTTAAATCTATTTCTCACTTCCACTGTATAGTCATAAGGGATTTGATTTAGGTCATACCTGAATGGTCTAGTGGTTTTCCCCACTTTCTTAAATTTAAGTCTGAATTTGGCAATAAGGAGTTCATGATCTGAGCCACAGTCAGCTCCAGGTCTTGTTTTTGCTGACTGTATAGAGCTTCTCCATCTTTGGCTCCAAAGAATATAATCAATCTGATTTTGGTGTTGAACATCTGGTGACGTCCATGTGTAGAGTCTTCTCTTGTGTTGTTGGAAGAGGGTGTTTGCTATGACCAGTGTGTTCTCCTGGCAGAACTCTATTAGCCTTTGCCCTGCTTCATCCTGTACTCCAAGGCCAAATTTGCCTATTACTCCAGGTGTTTCTTGACTTCCTACTTTTGCATTCCAGTTCCCTATAATGAAAAGGACATCTTTTGGGGGTGTTAGTTCTAGAAGGTCTTGTAGGTCTTCATAGACCTGTTCAACTTCAGCTTCTTCAGCATTATTGGTTGGGGCATAGACTTGGATTACCGTGATATTGAATGGTTTGCCTTAGAAATGAACAGAGATCATTTGAGATTGCATCCAAGTACTGGACTCTTTTGTTGACCATGATGGCTACTCCATTTCTTCTAAGGGATTCCTGCCCACAGTAGTAGATATAATGGTCATCTGAGTTAAATGCACCCATTCCAGTCCATCTTAGTTTGCTGATTCCTAGAATGTTGATGTTCACTCTTGCCATCTCCTGTTTGACCACTTCCAATTTGCCTTGATTCATGGACCTAACCTTCCAGGTTTCTATGCAATATTGCTCTTTATAGCATCGGACCTTGCTTCTATCACCAGTCCCATCCACAACTGGGTGTTGTTTTTGCTTTGGCTCCATCCCTTAATTCTTTCTGGAGTTATTTCTCTACTGATCTCCAGTAGCATATTGGGCACCTACTGACCTGGGGATTTCATCTTTCAGTGTCCTATCTTTTTGCCTTTTCATACTGCTCATGGGGTTCTCAAGGCAAGAATACTGAAGTGGTTTGCCATTCCCTTCTCCAGTGGACCACATTCTGTCAGACCTCTCCACCATGACCCATCCATCTCGGGTGGCCCCATACGGCATGGCTTAGTTTCATTGAGTTAGACAAGGCTGTGGTCCATGTGATCAGATTGGTTAGTTGTCTGTGATTGTGGTTTCAGTCTGTCTGCCCTCTGATGCCCTCTCTCAGCACCTACCATCTTACTTGGGTTTCTCTTACCTTGGACATGGATTATCTCTTCATGGCTGCTCCAGCAAAGCGCGGCCACTGCTCCTTACATTGGACATGGAGTATCTCCTCTCAGCCACTGCCCCTGACCTTGGACGTGGGGTAGCTCCTCTTGGCTGCCGCCCTGGACCTTGGACGTGGGGTAGCTCCTCTTGGCTGCCGCCCCTGACCTTGGACGTGGGGTAACTCCTCTTGGCTGCTGCCCCTGACCTTGGACGTGGGGTAGCTCCTCTTGGCTGCCGCCCCGGACCTTGGACGTGGGGTAGCTCCTCTTGGCTGCCGCCCCGGACCTTGGACGTGGGGTAGCTCCTCTTGGCTGCTCCTATGCTGGCGCAGCCACCACTCCTATGCACAATGGAATATAATACTCAGCCATAAAAAAATGAAATAATGCCATTTGCAGGAACATGGATGCAGAAACATGCATGTAGAAATTATCATACTAAGTGAAGTCAGAAAGATAAAGATAAATACCATGTGATATCACTTATATGTGGAATCTAAAGTAAGACACAGATGAACCTATCTATGAAGCAGAAACAGAATCATGGACATAGACAACAGACCGGTGGTTGCCAAAGGGAGAGGGTAGAAGGATGCATTGGGAGTTTGGGATTAACAAATGCAAACTTCTAATTCATATAGAATGGGCATCCATATAGACTGGATAAACAACAAGGTCCTATTGTATAGCACAGAGAACTACATTCAGTACCTTGTGATAAACCATAATGGAAAAGAATATGTAAAAGAGAATATGTATATGCACACATATATATGTTGGTATGTATGTATAGCAGAATCATTTTGTAGTACAACAGCAATTAACACAACATTGTAAATCAACTATAATTCAATTAAAATTTTTTTTTAATTTTTAAAAAAGACAGAAAAAAATAAAGCAGTAATGTTCTATTTTCAAGAGTGCTGCTGTAATTTAAACACTAAAACTTGATTCCCACAGAACCTATCCTTCACTGGAAACTTGGGACTATGATGAATAAAAGAACAATCCAGCAATTATATCCACATGTGGTAGATCTCAAAACGACAAAGTGTCCCTGTGCCAATGATGTGGCATTACTTGGCTTCGTTATGAACACAACATTTGATGGTGAGTTTGTGACTTCATTCAGAATTGGGGATGGCATTTTGTATTATATGACAGTTATGTTTAATTGGCAGTACAAGTTAAACATGAAGGCATAATGGAGTGAAAATGTTTCCTAAAAATACCTAAGGACTTTGTCATTTTCCCTTGTCTGCTTGCTAGTGTGATAAACTTTTTTCTCTGTGACATTTTGCCGGTTACTACTAACTTCAATGTCTCTCCAAATTTCCTTGATACTCTTGTGATTTATGTGTGGAAATACCCACTGCTGCTGTACAGCAGAGTATAAAAAGGTTTATCAGAAAGTGCAGTCGCTCAGTCCTGTCTGACTCTCTGTGACACCACGGACTGTAGCCCACAAGGATCCTCCATCCATGGGATTCTCCAGGCAAGAATACTGGAGTGGGTTGCCATTCCCTTCTCCAGGGCATCTTCCCAACCCAGGGATCAAACCCAAGTCTTCCTCATTGCTGGCAGATGCTTTACCACTGAGCCACCAGGGAAGCCCCGCTTGATACTCTGTCCTCCATTAATATATTCTTTCTCCTCAGAGATAATTCATTGCAGTTCTAATCCCTCTTCTCTTCCTGCCACACGTAAATAGGTTAACTTGTTCTGAGGTATCACATTATTCTGCTATGTGTTTTTCTATTATTATTATAATTAATAGCATCCTACACATTTCAATTACTAATCATCTTATTCTAGATTGTTTTTCTTAGGTCACTGATGACTTCAGTGACCCCAAATCTGATATTTCTAAAGGAAAAAAAAAATAAAAGAACTAAAAGATAGGAAACAAATTTTATTACCCATAGATTATATGTGTATCTATATAAAAATCCAAAAGAATCAACAGACAAACTATCAGAACAAGTATGGGAATGCTATGGAATTGACAAACATAGCAGTATATAAAAACCACTCCACTAAAGGCTGATTAAAGATTATAAATTTAAAACTCCTATTCAGAAAGTGATAAAACCTAATAGGGACCTAGAAATAAACCAAAAAAGACTTGCAAAGCTTGTGTAGAAGTTATAAAATTCTAATGAAGGCTATAAAAAGAGACTAAAGAAGATTTTATGTAAAAATGTTAGTTCTCTCAAAATTTATCAATCAATTCAATACAAATCCAAGAAAATTACAGCTATATTTTTGTGTATATGGAAATTGATAAGCCAATTCCAAAATTCATGTGGGAGACTAAAGCAACATGACTAACAAACATGATTTTAAAGAATAAAACAGCACAATAGGTTGCCCTACCATGATAAAGTAATAGATTCAAGTAATATACACTAGTATAGGGATATATCGATAGCCTTGCCCCAAATTTCTTTGAATTCCAATGACTTGCAGTCTTAATTATCCTAGCTCCAGCCTGCTTGTGCAGAATTAGTTCAGTGAGAAACTGTGTCTCATTTTCCTCTCTCTCAACCAGATGGAAACTCAACTCCTTTTCTAGCTTTGTTCCATGGGTGCAAGGCCAGGGCCCCCTCCTCTTTTGTCTGTCCAAACCTGCCATACTTTCGTGAGACACAGGAGAGAAGCCAGTTTCTGCATCCTGCCACACCCCTGAGAATCATAGGAGAGAAGGCATGTCTCAGTTCCTCAGGGTCTCACTCACTCGATCACTTCAACATCTTGAGAAAAGAAAGTTTTGGAAACCTGTTTTTAGATGAACCTACTTTTTCCCTCAGCTGGCCACTGGTATGCTGAAGCAGAAAATAAAAGATCCCACAGTATCAGGCTGCCACTGACCATTCCTTTGTGAGGCTTTGGTTCATCTTCCCTCCCCACACCAATGATGCTTCATCCCAAATGGAGTCAATGGTGAGAACAGGAATCCAGGAGCCTCATATGGTCCATATGTTCCAGTCTGGACTTAAAACCCATCTTCTTCATCTATGACTCTCATACATCCATCATGCCTCTCACCCCAGTTTTATGTCACTATAGAAATCTAAGCCTCCAGGTCACTTATACCACATACTATTCTGAATTTCCTTTAATTTCACCCAAACAACATTCAGAAAACTAAGATTGTGGCATCTGGTCCCATCACTTCATGGCAAATAGATGGGGAAACAATGGAAACAGTGACAGACTTTATTCTGGGGGGCTCCAAAATCACTGCAGATGGTGACTGCAGCCATGAAATTAAAAAGACGTTATGATCAACCTAGACAGCATATTAAAAAGCAGAGACACTACTTTGCCAACAAAGGTCTGTCTAGTCAAAGCTATGGTTTTTCCAGTAGTCATGTATGGATGTGAGAGTTGGACCATAAAGACAGCTGAGTGCTGAAGAACTGATACTTTTGAACTGTGGTGTTGGAGAAGACTCTTGAGAGTCCCTTGGACTGCCAGGAGATCCAACCAGTCCATCCTAAAGGAGATCAGTCCTGAGTATTCATTGAAAGGACTGATGCTGAAGCTGAAGCTTCAATACTTTGGCCACCTGATGTGAAGAACTGACTCATTAGAAAAGTCCCTGATGCTGGGAAAGATTGAAGGCAGGAGGAGAAGGAGATGACAGAGGATGAGATGGTTGGATGGCATCACCGACTCAATGGACATGAGTTTGAGTAAGCTCCAGGAGCTGGCGATAGACTGGCATGCTGCAGTCCTTGGGGTGGCAAAGAGTTGGACACAACCGAGCGACTGAACTGAACTGAAACTTCTGTCCATCTCCATTCACCCAAATCCATTCATTGGAATATGTGATCTGTTATCAGTAAATTCCCCCATACTACTGATCTTTTCTCTGAATGGTCTCCTCAGTTGCTGTAAAGAGTAGTCTGGCCAATCCCAGTTATCGTTCTTTTCCCTGTAGCCATCTCATGTGGCACATGTTTGAGTCTCAAGGGTCATTGTCCTTATTCCTTACAGGCTACTTCTTAATAATTAACTCCTGTCTTCTCCTTGAAAGCGTTCAGTCCCTTTGAATTCAGATTTTACTCCCTCTAACTCTTCTTGACTGCCAGTCTATGACAACCTTCCCATCACTCACTTTCATTGATGAGTTTAGCATCTGGACCCCTGCCTTTCTCTCCACCTTATTTTTGTTACTATTTTTGGTGGTTTCATCACCCATATGGACCAATGCTTTCAAGGCCTGCTCTTCCCCAGTGATCTTTCCCCCATCTTACTTCTGTGGCCATTTTCTTGACCTTGCTCTCTCTGATATTGTTATTGCCTCCAAAATCTCCACTATAATCATCTCGTGCTTTGCGCACTACCTTCTATACTTTCAGCCTACCCTAGTATTCACAGTCTGACATTTCTTGGATTTCTTGGAGACATCAATATGTTTTCTCCGCCACTTTTTTTCACTACTCAACATCCTTACTTTTTCACCATAATTTTAATTGTCTCTCTTTATAAACACTTCTGTAACTTCTTTGCCCTCCTCTTTCTTCCTTGCCTGCATAATCCCAACTGTCATTAAAACCACCTCTACTCCATTGGCAGAGCAGAATATTACAAGACAAAAGTTGCACACCAGTCTGTCTTTAAATTTCCACAAGCTGGTCTCACCATAAATTCATGATTGCAAGTCTCAAGTGGATACTCAGAATGACCCAGAAATCCCACCTCTCTTCCTTGGGATGTTTATTTTCCCATTCTGCAGAGTGACCTGGTCACACCTCTTCCCACTCCTCAAATGCTGTGCCTCATCTCCTTTCCCTCTCTGCTCTCAGCTGTGCCTTTATTACTTGACGTAGAAGGTCAAGATTGATCACAAGACATTCCATCATTGCTTCTGCACTCACCTGCCACCTTACCTGCCTCAGTACTTGGGTGCTTTGCCTTCTTGCCTGTTGCATTGTGAGAAATGTCTCTGCTGTGCTGAAGGCTGCTCATCACCCCTTGTGTCCTGTATCCCATTCTCTCCAATCACCTGGAGAACATTGCTCCTGCATCTGTCCTGCAGTTCTCACCTTTCTCTCATACATCATCATTCTGTCCCTCCTCACTGGATAGATGCATCAGTATACAAACATACCCTAATATACTCCATCTTAGCCAGAATCTTCATTTATCTCACTTTACCACAATCCCTCATCCCTCTGTTCCCCTTCAAACAAAATGATTGGAAGAATTTATTGTAGATGGCATTACATTTTCCACCTTCCTATTTTATCTTCATTCCCCTGCAAATCAGGTTGTCCCTACGATTGTTCTGAAACAATTCATTCTAAGGTCACCCATGATCTCCGTGTTGCCAATTCCAACAGCCAATTCTTTATCCTCATTTTACTCTCCCTCCCAGCAGAATTTGACACAGTTCACTGCTTTACTTCTCAACAGAACACGTTATTCTTTTGGCTTCCTTACACCACCTATAGTTACATTTATCTTGCCTCATTGGTCAATCCTTAGTTTTCTAAACCAGCTCATTTGTTATGACCCCTAACACGTCAGTGAAATAAGGCTTTGTCCTCAACTCTACCAGATCCTCTCCGAGAAATGTAATCTAGTCCTTTGATAATAATGCCACTGTCAGGCTGATGATGCCTGAATTTGTATTTCTGGTGCTGACCACTTCCTTGAGACCAAACTCCCACACTTAATTGTCTGTTTTCTACTTCCTGTTGGTATCTAATGAGCATCTCTGATATAACAAAGCTAAGCCAAAACTCTTGATTCACCTCCCTTTAAAATCTGTTCCTCTCTAGTACTTTTCATCCTAATGCATATCCAATTACTCAAATATAAAATTTAGCATAGACTCTTGACTATTCTTACTCTGATGACATTCTAGGATGAGGCCACATCCAGTGTCTATCCTCAACACAACCGCTTCTCTCCTCTGGTAAAATCTTAGGCCAAGATAACAATGGTTTTCCATGAGACTAATTCACAGCCTCTTAAGTGGTCTCCCTGTTTCTAACCCTAGTACAACCCACCATCCAAACAGTCACCACAATTATCTCAAGTGTAAAACAAATCACACTACTTTCTGGCTTCAAACATTCCAGTGGCTTCCCTTTGCCCATTAGAATACAATCCAAAATCATTGCAATGGTCTACATCAGCTTCTGTAACCCTGAGATACAATTATGGCCAGTTTGTCACAGAGAATAGCCTGTAACTTAATTTCAGTCTAAAATATCAACCAGAATAAGCTTTTATTTTACTACTTACCTCTCTATTAAATATTTCTAGACTTTGCCAGAGTCTGGTCATGTGATATGCTTAGCTTTTGCCTTAGAAAAGCAAAGCTTGTCTTTAGCTTTCCTCTTTCTGGAAAAGTGGATGATGATAGCATTTTCTTCTATATCTTTCCCTACACAGAAAAGATCTAGGAGTTAAAACATACACTTCACAATCTGAGTGATCCTGCATTCATCTTTTAGAAACAAAGCATATGCATTAGATTATTAACTGTCTTCAGGCTCCCTCTACCATCCGCATAGTTATACGCGTGTTGACTAGACTTCATATTAATGTTCCACATTTAAAACACAAAAGACGCTAAACTTTCCTACTATGGCCAAGGAAAGGTAAGATCAAGGAACAAAGTGGTTTTGGTATTTGCAACATGTTCAGTCTCTTTTTAATAAGTTCTCGAAGTTTGAATGAAGTAAAGTGTTAGTTGCTCAGTCATGTCTGACTCTTTGTGACCCTATGGCCTGCAGCCCACCCTGCTCCTCTGTCCATGGAATTCTCCAGGCAAGAATACTAGCGAAAGTGAAAGTCACTCAGTCGTGTCTGACTCTTTGCAACCCCATGGGCTGTATAGTCCATGGAATTCTCCAGACCAGAATACTGGAGTGGGTAGCTTTTCCCTTTTCTCTAAGGGAAAGAATACTAGAGTAGGTAGCCATTCCCTTTACAACCCAGTGATTGAACCGGGGTTTCCTGCATTACAGGCAGATTCTTTACCATCTGAGCCACAAATAGATTCTCTTATTAACAATTTATTCTATTTTAAAAATCACTTCCAAAAAATAAAGTAAATCAAACACAATTTCTTCCCTCTTGAGTTTTGCATTTTAATCTTTTTCTTTGGAATTTTTGTATTGTTCACTATATTCTTGAAATAGGAACATATTTTTGCTTAGAAGGATATTGTCAGGAAGGAAAAGTTCTTCCTGTATCCTCATAGGTTATGCCTGGGGGCCTCCAAATTAACCAAGACATTAGCAGAAGAAAAGGCATGTACTTTTTATTAATATTTATAATCATGGGAGTTCCCAGAAGAGAAATGAAACTCAAAGAACTAGTTAAACTTGGAGGCTTATATACCATCTTAACAAAGGAAAGGAGTCTAGACCTCAAGGGACAAGAAATTATGAAGTAATGAGGAAATTTGTGGGTGGACTAATGGAAGATAAGACTTAGTGAAGTCTGTTTATGCAGACTCATTTGGAATCATCTCCCTGTCTCTGGTGAGATTGCTCTCTTCTCTTCCTGGTTTTCTGGGCTTCCCTCATAGCTCAGTTGGTAAAGAATCTGCCTGCAATGCAGGAGACCCTGGTTTGATCCCTGGGTTGGGAAGATCCACTGGAGAAGGGATAGGCTACCCACTCCAGGATTCTTGGGCTTCCCTGGTAGCTCAGCTGGTAAAGAATCCACCTGCAGTGTGGGAGACCTGGATTCAATCCCTGTGTTGGGAAGATCCCCTGAAGAAGAATACTACCCACTCCAGTATTCTGGCTTGGAGAATTCCATGGACTGTATATTCCATGGGGTCATCAAGAGTCAGACACTACTGAGCAACTTTCACTTTCACTTCCTGATACAGGTGAAGTGGTTAGAAAATGCCCTGCTTTTTAGCAGGAAAAGGGAGGCAGAGAACTCTTCCTGCATCTTTTGATTCTCAGCTGCCTCCCGCTCAAAACCATGATGCCAAAGTGGCATATTTTAGGGATGACATATTCTGATCTCCTTTGATATAAAACAAAATCCTTAATAATTTGATGGTGGCTAAACTCCTGTGGTATAATCCAAGTTACTTTATCTTTCCAATACTTGGGGAAGTGACACTCAAACTTCACTTTGGGGGGTTGGGGCAAGGGTGGAGCATAGGCTGGAAGGTGGGGCAGATGCAGGCTCTCCTTCCTAAAACCTAGCACCTTAGGAGTCAGTTACTCGCTTTGCAGTTATTTTACCTTAATTTCCCTTTTCTCTCATGGTAGGTGTTTACATAGGCCTCAGCTTTTCTGGATTTTGGGATTATGATGATACCCAATGGTACAACCTGACAGATATGATCTATTCCCAAGTTGGAGAAGGTAATTCCTCTAACAGTGACTTCATCTTCGACATTTTCCTTTGCATCAACATTTGATGAATATTTATTTATAAAATGTCTTTGCTTTGCTGAAAACATCACTTTTCCCTTATCTTTTAACCCATTATATGATTTCTTCCTTTAGAACACAAACAGCTCTCAGTGGTGGATATGGTTTTAACAAATCATTTTTTAGTTATCCTTACCTCTTTGGGTCTTTTTATAAGTGGAGATCTTCGTTATCCATCATCCTCTGTCTTAATGGTAGGTGAATTGCTCTGTAACTAGAAGTTAACCTTAAATATCTTATGTGATATAAAGTAGAAATATTGGATACTTGAGTTGTGAGTGGTATATCTTAAAATTGAAATGTAAAAGCATAATATCATGACTTTTTCCTTTGCCTTGTAGTGTTGAATATATCATTTGGAAATGGCGCTAGTTTTGTTTCTATACAAATTTATGGGAAGTTTCACATACATACATGTAGGAAACATATGTGGTGTAATTTAAACTGCTATGTTTTATCATGCCTTCTGATTGCAAACAAAAATTTAAATTCCTTCTTTTCTTTCTTCTAGCTTTCAAGGGTAGACTTTTGTGGTTTCGAAAGGGTAAGAAACTTTCAATTTCCAAGGGTTTATTAGAAGATATGCATTTCCTTGGTGACCTAAGGGATGAAGTGCAAGACAAGAATTCATAATATAGATGATACCTGACACTGCAATATTATTTACAGTTTGAACTTAAAAATGTGTTTCCACTAACCATTAAGCAATGATCTCTTGTTCTGTTTCAAAGGAAGAAATGCACTCTTTGTTTTAGAGGCAGCCCTTACCCCTTCTTTATATGTTCTGTCCAGGATTGCTGTGGCTGTTCAATGTGTTCTGCACAAGAGCACCCAGTTGAAAAGATGGGCAGTCCAGTGATTCGGCAGTCCTGTGGTTAAGACTTCACCTTCCAATTCAGCGGACATGGGTTCAATCCACGGTTGGGGAGCTAAGATCCCACATGCCTCAGGGCCAAAAAAACAAAATATAGAACAGAAACAGTATTGTGACAGTTTTAATAAAGACTTTTTAAAAAATGGTCCACATAAAAAAAAAAAACTTAAAAAAAAATAGTAAAGAAAAGATAGTGAGAGATGAAATCTGGCTTAACACTTGACTCCTCAGTCTGCCTGCTCCTGACCCTCATGTGAGTCTGTGTCTACCGAGAGAAAGGGGCACTCCTTCTAATATGATACAAGCAACCACATAAACTCTGATTCTGACTTTTTGGAGTGTGATTTTGTTCCATCAATTATCTCCCCTCTCTGTTGTGAGGTCAGGTTTTGAGATTCAACTAAGTCATTGCCTCATTGCCATCAACATACAAGCACAACAAAATTATGAGTATTTGTAAGCTTTTGCCATGTCCCCTCCCATATAGGCCTGAGGGCACAGATGCACATGAGGACACACATGAACACTCACTCACACTGACTAAAGGAAAGAGGCACTTACTTCTCAGGAAAGAAAAGGAACTGACTTCTTGCTTCACTGATTCCAAGAAACGTGAAGCTGAGAACTGGGAAGGTCCGACAGGCAAAACTGATTACCATTACAAAGAGCAAGGAGACCTGTCAAGGACAGAATTCCAAACTGAGAAAAACTCTGTCACTCAAGAGTGAGGGTGAAGAAAAGAAATTTTCACAGATGAGGCATCAGGAAAGTTTATTGTCCAGAGATTCCCATGAAGAAGTGGGATGCCAGAAATAATGATGGAACTAGAAATGTGAACTCTAAGGGAGGCAGGAAACTTATCTGTGCTTTTCACCAGACCTGAGCCGACCCTTCTGTGTTTTTATAGCTGCATATATTCCATTGTGTGAACTTAACCACAGTTTACTTAACCAGTCTCCTACGAGTGGATACTTGAGTCATTTTTCTAACCTTTTGCTTTTATATTACAAACAATGCTTCCATTAATAATTTGTATCCAGAAAGTTTGTACGTATCCAGCTATATCAGTACAATACATTCTTGGAACTTGGATGGACACATCAAGGAGTAAATGCTTGTACAATATTAAAAGACAATCACAAGTTGCCCTTCATAGATGTTTTTTACTATTTACAAGGATATTAAAATAAATCCTCTTGATCTGAAATATTTCAGCAAAAACTCAGGGACTTCTGGTAATGATGAGAGAGAGGAGAATTACCAGCGTTCCAAAGATAGTGAGGTCATGTGGCAGGGCAAAATGCAGGGGAAAGTGAACTTATTCTTAAAGGTATAGGGATTTACCTTTAGGAAAGGCCTCTTCTATAATGCTTGAAGAAAGGACAGTAAGAATGGGATGTGTGTGGCTATCCAGCCAAGAATTTGAAGGAGTTAATACTTAGTGATTTATTCATGCCCTTATTCATCCATTCAACAGAAGTTTGTTGAGCCAGGCTTGTTTAGACAAAGACATACAAGATAAAGTCCTGACTCTCCTGTAGTTGTCCATTCTCCGGAAGCAGCTAGACCATGAACAAGCACACAAACATATGCAGACTATGGAGAGTAAAAACGGCTTATTAAAATTAAAGCAGGAAAGAGAAACAGAGAGTGAAGAGAAGATAATATTGTATTTTAAGCCAGGTGATGATAGCAGGCCTCTCCAAGGAGGTGAAATTGAAGCAGAAATTCAAATGATTTGAAGGAATGATTTTGCCAAAATATGTCTAGACAGTGGTGCAAAGGCCTTCAATTGGGAACTTGACATGAGGCAAAATCTCTCTGCCAAAATCTGGTTAGTGGAAATAGCAGGCATCTGGGGTCACTTCTTTAAGGATAAAATCCAAGCTCTTGAGAGACATACAGAGTCCTTCATGGTCATAGCCTCTCGTGCCTTCCCCAGCCTTGTTGCGCCTGCTCCTCACCCCAAGCAGCCCTTTTCCAGGCACAGCAAACACGCCCTGAAATGAGCCATCATTTCTTACACTTTGAATTAGTTGGACAAGATGTTTCATCTCCTTAGGGTGCATTCCCTCCCCTTCCCTTTCATTTCACTTAGAGCAAGGATCCCCAGCCTTTTTGGCACCAGGGACCGGTTTCACGGAAGACAATTTTTCCACAGACCAGAGTGAGGGAGGATGGTTTTGGAATGATTCAAGCATATTACATTTATTGTGCAATTTATTTCTATTGTTATTACATTAACTCCACCACAGATCATCAAGCATTAGATCCTGGAGGTTAGGGACCCATGACTCAGAGAGTTCCTACCGCTTCTTCAATAACCCCTCTGTGACTACCAAGGGTGCCTTTCCTGTACAGTCTCAATGCTATCACCACTAATGGCTATCATTTGTCACCCTATTTTGTCTGTTGAGCCCTCTGACTTGCCTCACCAGATTTTAGGTTTCATGTCAAGAACTACCTTATTTACTGGTGTATGCTAATAAGTTACCACCCTGCCTTGCACATAGGTCATCTCAAATAAATATTTGCAGAATCCATGAGTGAATAAATGAAGACAGACAGGAGTCCAGTCTTGTAGGAAGTTAGTAGCCATGCAACATGGAACTTTGGACAGTCATATACCTTTCTGGCCTCAATTTCTTCATTTTAAAATGTTCATAACATTATCTACCCCTTAGAGTTGAAGTGATTAAATAACATTATATTAAAACTTGGCCTGGTTCATGAATCAAAGTAGAAACTTAAACAAACAAACAAAAACTATATTTTCTCTCCAAACAGCTAGTCAGAACATTTTGAAAGCAAATGACAGAAACCAACTAAATCTGATTTTAGCAAAGGAGATGCAGTTGTTGGCTCATGTGAGCAGGGAGTTCAAGGAATGAAGAATCTGGCTTTCAGACATGACTGGATTTTGTGCCTAACAAGTGTCCGTCAAACTCTGTCTTCTCAGCATTTGAGTCTGCTTTCCTCTACATTAACTTCATTCTCAGTGGATTTGTTCCAATTGTCAGTAAGAACGGCCACCAAGTTTACATGCAAGCAATTTAGCAATCCCCGTAGGAATCAAATATCTCTTTTCTGGTAGTTCCAAGTCTCAGGGCCGACTCATTAACCTGACTTGGATCGTGTGTTCATTCCTGACCCGTCTTTGTGACTCTAAATCAAGCCTGAGGCATGAGCTCATCCTTGGAATAAAGTCAGCCTGTTCAGATTAAATTATCCCCAAGGATATTCACTGAAGTATTATCAGTTTTATTCCAGGTAGGGGAAAAAAAAGAAATCTAAAGAGCAAGAGAAAAAAAAAGGAATCTCAGGACCCAGTAGAGATTCTATATTAATTGCCCATATATAGTCATGATAATTACAATATTCTAAAACACTAAAGATTTATATGAGAACTCCACAGGCTCATTTGATATAATGCCTTAGATTGAAATTCAAATAAATTATTGTCTATTCCATTTTAAAAGGCTTTTTTGTGTGTTTAGCAGTTTTATTAAGATATAATTCACATAGCATAATATTTACCCACTTATAGTGTACAATTCAATGACCTTTAGTATATTCACAGTTGTGCAACCATCACCACAGTCTATTCTAAAATATTTTAAAGGCTTTTATTGTACAGATTATGCAGATTTTATTATTGGTCTTTTAAAATGTAAGAAGGTCTTCCTTTTGTCTCAACAATAATTTGAGAGTCAGAGTCTTCCTATGTCAACTGAAAAGAATTACATAATCTAAATGATGAGAGTTAGATTTTATTCTGTGGACAAAACTGAGGACATATGCCCAGGACACAGCCTCTCAGATTGCTCTGAGAGACTGCTCCCAAGAGGGAAAGGGGAACCAGGACATATAAGGAGTTTTTGCAGCAAAGACCAGGTAGTTGGAACATCAAAAGTTTTCTTTAAAGAAAACCAGATATCTCAAGGAATTTAGTGCTTTTCTATGTATGGGAAGATGCAAGAGTCTGGGGTCCCTGAAATCATTCCTTTGATGTGCACCTCAGCTTTTTGGGACCAGTACCCCGTGCTTTCTCATCCTGAGTCTCCTCAGGGTGCATCTTTGGGGGCTGGCTGCAGTGGCTGAGGGCATGGCAGCAGGCAGGCAGCCAGTCTTTCTCCATCCTGAGCTCCCTCAGGGCTCACAGTCGTGGTTGTAGTGGCTGTAGTGGCTTGATGGCTGCAAATCCTTTGTTTACCGCAGGCAGGCAACATTTTTCATAGACACCTATAAGAAAACCATCTCAAATTCTTGCATATAACTCACATCCAACATGTATAATCTTACCTTCTTGGAAGTTTCTCTCTTATGACCAATTTTTCAAACCCTGTATTTTTTTCTTATTGCTTTGTGCTGCTGTCAGGCTTCTGGGAAGACTCCTTAAACCAAGCTGCAGCTGAAGGAGAATAAAAGAAAGTATATGGCCTGTTTTAACTGTACTGAAAGATCAACAGCTCCTGGGAGCCCCAGATAGACAATTCATAGATAGCAGCATCTTCATTAACATATGCTAATCAAGCAAAATTTTTTATTCCTTTTTTGTGTGTTGTTCAAAAAACATATTCTTGTTTCCTGCCCTCTTTCTATGACCTTTTATTTGTTGGCATACAGTTTTTCTCTTTTATTTGCCTCACATTTCTGAACTATCTAACTTTTAAATTTTCTGTTTTTCTATCTTACATGTTAAGTCTATGTATTGTCTAAATGATACTTTTGCTTATTTATGTAGGTTGACTACATCAAAGGAAAACTGTGGTATAATGAAAGATGTTTTGCTAACAGAGAACACTTTGAAGGTGAATTTTAATAAGCTCTTCTCAACGTAGATAGCACAGATAGATTATATAAAATGAAATAAAAATAGAATTAAACATAAAGATAGATTTGTTTTGTATAAGTTAAGAGCCTAAAACTGGGGTGGGGGGAAATTAATTTAAATATAAGGCAATAGGCATGCCCTGATGTAAATGCAAGAAAATTGTATTTGAGTATACTTAAGGATACATTTAAAAATATAGATGCTACTTATAATTTCTGTACCTTTATATTTTATAGTTGATTATGTTACTATCACCTTTGACAGAAACAGGACCTTAAGTGAGGTATGATATTCAATATTTTAAAAAGTAAGAAATTTTGCTGTGCATAATTTCATAGGTTGTTATTAATCTGAAGAATGGCAATTCTACAGGCTGAAAAGCTTAACAATCACTCTTTGCTCCCAGTGGTGCTTCTACTTGGGCTTAATGGTAATCTTCTAATGGTAATTATCTAACTGGAGAAGGAAATGGCAACCCACTCCAGTATTCTTGCCTGGAGAATCCCATGGACGGAGGAGCCTAGTAGGCTACAATCCATGGGGTCGCTAAGAGTCGGATTTGACTCAGTGACTTCACTTTCACTTTTCACTTTCCTGCATTGGAGAAGGAAATGGCAACCCACTCCAGTATTCTTGCCTGGAGAATCCCAGGGACAGAGGAGCCTGGTGGGCTGCCGTCTATGGGGTCGCACAGAGTCGGACACGACTGAAGCAACTTAGCAGCACCAGCAATTATCTAGCAGTTCATGTCAGAAAGGAATGTTTGGCCATGTTTTCTGGACTCTCATCCCCCAGAAGATAACAACACAATGGTCCATTGGTTTATTTGCCTATAGGAGCTAATGAGGACTTTTAGAGTTCAATAATGGCATTAACTTTTCCTTTCTCTTTTGGTAGGCAAACTCTTGTTTTTACAGTAAAGAACCATTTCTTGAATGGTTACCTTGCTTACCCCCTGTTCCAAAAGGAACCAAAACTATTCTTTCAACTGTGATAACAGTTCTTGTTGACCAAGAGCAAAGTTCTGCAGTCTACCTCTTCCATAACCAGGTAGGCCTTAAAGCCCAGAGGGGATTGCTCTTGACCCCACAATAATGAAAATGTACCTGACCAAAACTTATTTCCAAGTTCTTGTTTTCTTTGGCCGTGTAAATTGATAAAAATTGGCTACAGTGAAATTATTTATGATAATTAATATAGTTTGATACCTTATGGGCTTCCCTGGTAGCTCAGTTGGTAAAGAATCTGCCTGCAATGTGGGAGACCCTGGTTTGATTCCTGGGTCAGGAAGATCCACTGGAGAAGGGATAGGCTACCCACTGCAGTATTTTTAGACTTCCCTTGTGGCCTAGCTGGTAAAGAGTTCGCCTGGAATGCAGGAGACCTGGGTTCGATCCCTGGGTTGGGAAAATCCTCTGGAGAAGGAAAAGGTTACCTATTCCAGTATTCTGGCGTAGAGAATTCCAAGGATGTCCATGGGGTCGCAAAGTGTTGAACACAACTGAGTGACTTTCACTTTCACTTGATACCTTATAGATGTCTTGTCTCTGATTATCATTTAGTTTGATGAAAATACAAAATTCAATGCTGTTTGTGTAATGATTCTGCTTTGCTTATTCTTCAGGGGAGTATAAACTGTATTTGGTCTGTATCTATTTAAGTTTCCATAAAATGGTTAGTTTAAATGAACAAAAAGTGGAACAAGCCTTACCCGCATGATTTTAGGGTATAAAAATTTTTCCTCTACCCTTGACTCTTTACGACCCTGTAGACTGTAGCCTACCAGGCTCCTCCATCCATGGGATTTTCCAGGCAAGAATACTGGAGTGGGTTGCCATTTCCTTCTCCAGGGGATCTTCCCGACCCAGGGATTGAACCTGGGCCTCCTGCATTGCAGGCAGACGCTTTAACCTCTGAGCCACCAGGAAAGTCCACCCTTTTATTAGGGCCATGCAAATTAAACTGATAAAAGACAGATTAATAAAAGAAAAGAAAATAATTATTTATGCATGCGAGGCACACACAATCACAGGAAGCTAATTAAACATCACATGGACCACAGCCTTGTCTCACTCAGTGAAACTATGAGCCATGCTGTGCAGGGCCACACAAGATGGATGGGTCATGGTGGAGAGGTCTGACAGAATGTGGTCCACTGGAGAAGGGAACGGCAAACCACTTCAGCATTCTTTCCTTGAGAACCCCATGAACAGTATGAAAAGGCAAAAAGACATGACACTGAAAAATGAACTTCCCAGGTCAGTAGGTGCCCAATATGCTACTGAAAAAGAGTGGAGAAATAACTCCAGAAAGAATGAAGAGAGAAAGCCAAACTGAAAACAACGCCCAGTTGTAGATGAAACTGGTGAAAGTCTGATGCTGAAGAACTATACAAAAAAAATCTTCTGATCCAGATAACCACGATGGTGTGATCACTCACCTCGAGCCAGGCATCTTGGAATGTGAAGTCAAGTGGGCCTTAGTAAGCATCTCTACAAACAAAGCTACTGGAGGTGATGGAATTCCAGTTGAGCTATTTCAAATCCTAAAAGATGATGCTGTGAAAGTGCTGCATCCAATATGCCGGCAAATTTTGAAAACTCAGCAGTGGCCACAGGACTGGAAAAGGTCAGTTTTCATTCCAATCCCAAAGATAGGCAATGCCAAAGAATGTTCAAACTACCACACAATTGCACTCATCTCACAAGCTAGAAAAGTAATCTTCAAAATTCTCCAAGCCAGGCTTCAACAGTACATGAACTGTGAACTTCCAGATGTTCAAGGTGGATTTAGAAAAGGCAGAGGAACCAGAGATCAAATTGCCAACATCCATTGGGTCATCAAAAAAACAAGAGAGTTCCAGAAAAACATCTACTTTATTGACTACACCAAAGCCTTTGACTGTGTGGATCACAACCATCTGTAGAAAATTCTTCAAGAGATGGGACTACCAGATCATCTTACCTGCTTCCGAAGAAATCCATATGCAGATCAAGAAACAACATTAGAACCGGACATGGAACAACAGACTGGTTCCAAATTGGGAAAGGAGTATGTCAAGGCTGTATATTGTCACCCTGCTTATTTAACTTATATGCAGAGTACATCATGTGAAATCTGGGCTGGATGAAGCACAAGTTGGGATCAAGACTACTGGGAGAAATATCAATAACCTCAGATAAGCAGATGACACCACCCTTATGGCAGAAAGCAAAGAAGAACTAAAGAGTCTATTGATGAAAGTGAAAGAGGACAGTGAAAAAGTTGGCTTAAAACTCCGCTTTCAAAAAATGAAGATCATGGCATCCAGTCCCATCACTTTATGGCAAATAAATGAGGAAATAATGGAAACAGTGACAGACTGTTTTGGGGGGCTCCAAAATCACTGCAGATGGTGACTGCAGCCATGAAATTAAGATACTTGCTCCTTGGAAGAAAAGCTATGACCAACTTAGACAGCATATTAAAAAGCAGAGATATTACTTTGCTGACAGAGGTATATCTAATCAAAGCTATGGTTTTTCCAGTAGTCATGTATGGATGTGAGAGTTGGACTATAAAGAAACCTGAGAGCTGAAGAATCAATGCTTTTCTCATGCATCCAACCTGGGCTGATGATCTGTTTCACCTTAGATAATATACATGTTAGATGCTGTTCTCTTGAAACATCCCACCCTCGCCTTCTCCCACAGAGTCCAAAAGTCTGTTCTATACATCTGTGTCTCTTTTTCTGTTTTGCGTATAGGGTTATCATTACCATCTTTCTAAATTCCATATATATGTGTTAGTATACTCTAATGGTCTTTATCTTTCTGGCTTACTTGGACCTGGTGCACTGGGAAGAGCCAAGGGATAGGGTCGAGAGGGAGGTGGGAGGGGGGATTGGGATGGGGAATACATGTAAATCCATGGCTAATTCATGTCAATGTATGACAAAAACCACTACAATATTGTAAAGTAATTAGCCTCCAACTAATAAAAATAAATGAAAAAAAAAAAAGAATCAATGCTTTTGAACTGTGGTGTTGGAGAAGACTCTTAAGAGTCCCGTGGACTGCAAGGAGATCAAACCAGTCAATCCTAGAAGAAATCAAGACTGAATATTCACTGGAAGGATTGAAGCTGAAACTATGATACTTTGGCCACCTGATGCGAAGAACTGACTTCTTGGAAAAAACTGTGATGCTGGGAAAGATTGAAGGCAATAGGAGAAAGGAACCCCAGAGGATGAGATGGTTGGATGGCATCACCGACTCAATGGACATGAGTTTGAGCAAGTTCTGGGAGCTGGTGATGAACAGGGAAGCCTGGCATGCTGCAGTCCATGGGGTTGCAAAGAGTCAGACACAACTGACTATGAACTGAATGCACACACATGTGGGTGAAAGTCAATGATGAATAACTCAAAAGGTAGTTAAATTTTGGAGGTTATATACCATCTTAATAGTTTAAGGAATTGAGTGAGAAAGATACTTAAAAGAAAGCAAATGAAAAGATAATGGGTTTACAGGGGAACAAATAGGAGTCAAGAAAGTCCGTGATAATATTTGTTTGAACAAGTTTGAGTGATTTTTCTGTCTCTTGTGGGCCTTAAAGCTCCCCTGAAGAAGGGGTCTGGGGTAGGTTTTGTTCACATGCTGCCTTCTGGGAGTAGATATCCTCTGAAGAGGGATTAATGGCAGCCTTATATCCCAGAAAGACTTCCTCGTGGCTCAGATGGTAAAGCATCTGCCTACAATTCAGGAGACCTGGGTTCGATCCCTGGGTCAGGAAGATCTCCTGGAGAAGGAAATGGCAACCCACTCCAGTACTCTTGCCTGGAAAATCCCATGGACAGAGGAGCCTGGTAGGCTACAGTCCATGGGGTTACAAAGAGTCAGACATGACTGAGCGACTTCACTTTTCACTTATATCCCAGATGTTGCTGCTTTTAGTCAGATAAGGGAAGAAATTTTTTTTCTGCACTTTTTGAATCTAAAATATCAGTATAAAATAAACTTTATACCAAAGTGTCATACCTTGGGGTTCATATTCTGATCCCCATCAGAATCATGATCTGACAGAACTGTAGTGTGGCCTAGGTGTCCATATTTTAAAAAGTAATTTGACATTATGATTCTGCTGAATGGGCATTGGAGTCTGTCAAGTTCAGTAATGATTCTACAATAAACCCCCCACCCTTGACATTTATTATAGAACCTTGGACAAATAATTTAATCCTCTTTACTTCATGTTCAATATCTACAAGATGGACCTATACAGTAGGGGGAAACAGAGTAAAGAAATACCAATAGTTGCTAGTCCTTTCAATTCTGTGCTGTTAAAGGTTGTATCCCTATCTTAATCAAAATCCAAGTAACAAGAAACTCTAAAAATTGTAACAAAGACTTAGTACTGTTGGTGGAAAGAAATCTTACAATTTGCTCCTTCTTTGTTTATCTGTTTCTAGAAAAATACCATTGTCTCTGTGAGGATCCTAAAACACAACAAACCAGACTTAATACAAAGATTTCCCTTTTTCTCTTTTCCTTCATCATTCTCTTCTCCTGTTGGAATGATATTCCACCCACGAAGCCATTTTCTGTATGCTTACGGTAATCAGGTATGTATAGATTAAACTACACTCTTGTATAGATGTAAATTCTTCACTTACTCCATGCCGAGTGGTTATACATTAAGAATGGAGTTGTCTGACGGTCAGGGAGGTGGAAAGCCTAATGAAGAGAGAATGAGAGGAAAGGAATTAGTGACAGTGAATACAAACAAATCTTTTGCAAAGTTTTGCTGAAAAGTGGAACAGGGAAATGTGACAGCATTTGAAAAAGGAAAGGGCAAAAGAGGTTTTTTTTAAGATAGAAGGAATTATGATGTGTGCTTCCGGGAATCATTTGGTAGAGAGGGAAAAATCAATGATGCAGGAAAGAGAGCAAACTGCTGGAGAGACATTTCTGAAAAGGTGAGAGGAGATAATCTATATGAACTAGTAAAGAGATTGGTCTTAGCACAGACAATAGTAAGTGGAGGGAGGGAGGGTTTGGGTTTCAAAAGCAGGTAGGTGGGGAGCTATGGTAATGGAGGATGTGGGAATTTATCTTCTATTTTCTCACAAAAAAAATCAAAATTATTTATGAGTGATGATGGACGAGAAATGTAGGGAGGAGGTGATTTGAGAAAAGAGACAACAGAATTAAATAGTTGCCTAGGAGGATGGGCAACTTAATTTTACAACTTAAGGAACTAAAAAAAGAAGAGCCACAAACTAAAAGCTAACAAACAGGAGGATATAATAAAGAGTAGAGGAAAGATAAATGTAATAGGGAATAGAAAAAAAGCAGTTAAACTAAGACCTGGTTTATTGACAAAACTTAACTAGATAAACTAAGAAAAAGAAGATTCATCTAAAAATTGAAAGAGGGGATGTTGTGACTGATGCCGCAGAAACAAGGAGGATGTGAGAATATTGTGAATAGTTGTATGCTAACGAACTGGATAACCTAGAACAAATGGGTAAATTCCCAGAAACCCACAGCCTACTAATTCTTAAATCATGAAGAAATAGGAAATCTGAGCAGACCAATAACTAGTTAGGAAATTGAATCAGTAATCAAACCTCCCAACAAAGAAAAGGCCAAGGCCATATGGCTTCATTGGTGAATTGGTCCAAATGTTTAAAGAAGAATTAACACTAAACCTCTTCAAACTCTTACCAAAGGGAAGAAAAAAATGAAGAGGAATGAATGTTTCCAAGGTCATTCTTTGAAACCACCATTGACCTATCAAAGTCAGACAAGAGTACTACAAGAAAACTATAAATCAAATCCCTAGACAACATTGATACAAAAATTCTCAACAAAATACTAGGAAACTGAATTTGGCAATGGGATTAAAAAGATTATACATACTACCACCAAGTGGGATTTGTTCCTGTAACACAGAGATGGTTCAACATATGAAAATTGAACAATGTAATATACCACATTAACAGAATGAAGGGGGAAAATAATCACAACATCATCTCGGTTGATACAAAAGAGCATTTGATAAAATTCAACATACTTTCATGATAAAAACATGTAGTAGACTAGAAATGAAAGAAAACTACCTAAACATGGTGAAAACCATATACAAGAAACCCACAATGAACATTATACTCAACAGTGAAAGACTTACAGCTTTTCCTCTAACATAAGGAATAAGGCATGGAAGCACACTCTCACGACTTCTATTCAATACAGTACTGGAAGTTCTGACCAGAGCTATTAGACAAGAAAAAGAAATTTTAAAGTATCTGCATATAACAGGAAGAAGCAAAATTATCTGTGTTCACAGGTGATATGACCCTATATGTAGAAAACTCTGAAGATACTGCAAAAAACAAACAAACAAAAACCTGTTAGAATAGAGGAATTCAGCACAAAAGTCTCATTTTAATATGGGTAAGCACTCTCCTCTATATAGCAATTCATCCAACCCTTCATCCTTTTATGGACAAGGAGGACCCAGTTGAGAGATGATGAAATGACTTTGTTCTTTTATGCCTCTTTTATAAAACTGAAGATTGCCACATGCACTGTTGCACAAACTCTAGGAAGGGAATAGAGGGTTGACCAAGTAGGTAAGGAGTCATTACATGTGTGTGTGTGTGTGAGGGGAGATGAATGCATGATGGATGTGGGAGTATGGTTATGCTGAATGACTTTTCTTGTGTAGGAAGATTAGGTAATTGCTGACTGTTACACGACAGCTGTTTAATGAGGTATTGTCTTTCTATTCCCTTAGGTATGGCTTTCAATTGATGGCGGCAACACCTTTGATTTAATAGCTGACTTTCATGATGATATCATAAAGAATACTTACCATAGTTTTTATACTTCAGATATTACTCTTGTTTCCCAAAGTGGAAAGGTTTACTTGACAAAAGCAGGTGAGGAATTCACTTTTGCTGGTATAAGCACTACCTGTGAGCCAAGGGTTAGAAGATGTATTTTTAAATCTGCCATATTAATGAACTGATCCTAAGGTCTCAGACATATTAGGGGTTTTAGATGGATTTTTTTAAAGTTTTACAGTAATAAAAAATAAACATAACAAAATTTAACATCTTAACCATTCTCAGTATATAGTTCAGTGTTACTGGATACATGCTCGGTCACTTCACTTGTGCCTGATTCTTTGCAACCCTATGGACTTACCCCGCCAAGTTCCTCTGTCCATGGGATTCTCCAGGCAAGAATACTGGAGTGGGTTATGATGCCCTCCTTTAGGGGATATTTCCGACCCAGGGATCGAACATGCATCTCTTATGTCTCTTGCATTGGCAGGCTGGTTCTTTACCACGAGCACCACCTGGGAAGCCCTCAGTGGTGTTAAATACATGCAAATATTCTGCAACCATCACCAACATCCATCTCATTAACTCTCTTCATCTTAAAACTTTATACCTTTTAAAAATAAATCCCCACACCCCTCTTCCCCACATCTTCTCACAACTACCATTCTATTTTCTGTTTCTATGATTTTGATTACTCTGGTGCCTCATATAAGCAGAATCATACAATATTTGTCCTTTTGTGAATAGATTATTTCACTTAGCATACTGGCCTTAAGGTTCATACATATAATAGCTTGTATCAGGGTTTTCTTCATGATTAAGACTGAATAATAATTGTACTGTATAGATGACATTTAGCTTGTCCATTCATCCATCAGTGGACACTTGGGTTGCTTCCATGTTTATCTATTGTGAATAGTGTTGCTACGAACACAGGTATACAGATACATATTTAAGACTTGCTTTTATCTCTTTTGCGTATATACTCAGAAGTGGCATTGCTGAATCATATGATAATTCTACTTTTAATTTTTTGAGAATCTGCAATACTATTTTACACAGCACTGTACTATTTTACATTCTGACTTCCAGTGTAAAATGGTTCCAGTTTCTCCACAACATTGCCAACACTTGTTATTTTCTGGTCTTTTGATAGCAATAATCCTGCTGGATGGGAAGAGGTTGTTATTATTGTTGATCAATCACTAGTCAGGTCAACTATTGTGACCGCATGGGCTGTAGCACGCCAGGTTTCCAGTCCATCACCAACTCCTGGACCTTGCTAAAACTCATGTCCACTGAGTCAGTGATGCCATCCAACCATCTCATCCTCTGTTGCCCCCTTCACCTCCTGCCTTCAGTCTTTCCCAGCAGCAGGGTCTTTTCCAGTGAGTCAGCTCTTCACATCAGGTGGCCAAAGTATAGGAGTTTCAGCTTCAGCATCAGTCCTTCCAATGAACACTCAGGACTGATTTCCTTTAGGATTGAGTGGTTTAATTTCCTTGCTGTCCAAGGGACTCTCAAGAGTCTTCTCCAATACCACAGTTCAAAAGCATCAGTTCTTTGGTGCTCAACTTTCTTTATGGTCCAATTCTCACATCTGTACATGACTACTGAAAAAACCATAGCTTTAACTAGATGGACCTTTGACGGCAAAGCAATGTCTCTGCTTTTTAGTATGCTGTTTAGGTTGGTCATAGCTTTTCTTCCAAGGAGCAAGTATCTTTTAATTTCATGGCTGCAGTACCATCTGCAGTGATTTTGGAGCCCCCCAAAACAAAGTCTGTCACTGTTTCCATTGTTCCCCCATCTATTTGCCATAAAGTGATGGGACTGGATACCATGATCTTTGTTTTCTGAGTGTTGAGTTTTAAGCCAGCTCTTCCACTCTCCTCTTTTACTTTCATCAAGAGGCTCTTTAGTTCCTCACTTTCTGCCATAAGGGTGGTATCATCTGCATAACTGAAGTTATTAATATTTCTTCCCAGAATCTTGATTCCAACTTGTGCTTCATTCAGCCCAGCATTTCACATGATGTACTCTGCATATAAGTTAAATAAGCAGGGTGACAATATACAGCCTTGACATACTCCTTTCCCAATTTTTTGAACCGGTCATTTGTTCCATGTCCGGTTCTAACAGTTGCTTCTTGACTGACATACAGGTCTCTCAGGAGACAGATAATGTGTCTGGCATTCCCCTCTTTTTCAGAATTTTCCACAGTTTGTTGTGATCCACAGTCAAAGTCTTTAGTGGAATCAATGAAGCTGAAATAGATGTTTTTCTGGAAGTCTCTTGCTTTTTCTATGACCCAGTAAATGTTGGCAATTTGATCTCTGGTTCCTCTGCCTTTTCTAAATCCATCTTGTACATCTGGGAGTTCTCAGTTCACATACTGTTGAAGCCTAGCTTGAAGGATTTGACCATAACCTTACTATGTGAAAGGAGAGCAACTATACGGTAGTTTGAACATTCTTTGACATTGTCTTTCTTTGGGCTTGGAATGAAAACTGACCTTTTCCAGTTCTGTGGCCACTGCTGAATTTTCCAAATTTGCTGACATATTGAGTGCAGCACTTTAACAGAATTATCTTTTAGGATTTTAAATATTTCTGCTGGAATTCCATTATGCCCCACTAGCTTTGCTGTAGTAATACTTTCTCAGACCCACTTGACTTTGTACTCCAGGATGTCTGGCTCTAGGTGAGTGACCATACCATCATGATTATCCAGGTCTTTAAGGCCATTTTGTGTAGTTCTTCTATGTATTCTTGCCATCTCTTCTTAATATCTTCTGCTTCTGCTAGGTCCATACCATTTCTGTCCTTTATTGTGTCCATCCTTGCATGAAATGACCCCTCGATATCTCTAATTTTCTTGAAGAGATTTCTTGTCATTCCCATTGTATTGTTTTCCTCTATTATTTGCATTGCTCATTTAAGAAAACCTTCTTATCTCTACTTGCTATTCTCTGGAACTCTGCATTTATTTGGTTTTATCTTTCCTTTTCTCCCTTGCCCTTCTCTTCTCTTCTTTTCTTGGCTCTTTGTAAAGCCTCCTCAGGCAACCGCTTACCTTCTTGCATTTCTTTTTCTTTGGGATGACTTTGGTCTCTGCTTCCTGTACAATGTTGTTGTTGCTATTGTTCAGTAGCTCAGGGGTGTCCAACTGTTTGTGACCCCGTGGACTGCAGTATGCCGGGCTTCCCTGTCCTTCACCATCTCCTGGAGTTTACTCAAACTCATATTCATTGAGTTGGTGATGCCATCCAACCATCTCATCCTCTCTCATCCCTTCTCCTCCTGCCTTCAATCTTTCCCAGCATCAGGGTCTTTTCCAGTGAGTCAGTTCTTCACATTAGGTGGCCAAAGTACTGAAGCTCCAGCCTCAGCATCAGTCCTTCCAGTGAATGTTCAGTCTTGATTTCCGTTAGGATTGACTGGTTTATCTGCTTTCTGTCCAAGGGATACTCAAGAGTCTTCTCCAACACCATAGTTCGAAAGCATCAATTCTTCAGTGCTCAGCCTTCTTTATAGTCCAACTCTCACATCCATACACAACTACTGGAAAAACCATAGCTTTGCCTAGATGGACCTTTGTTGGGAAAGTAATGTCCTTGCTTTTTAATGTGCTGTCTAGGTGGATCATAACTTTTCTTGCAAGGAGTATGCATCTTTTAATTTCATGGTTGCAGTCACCATCTGCAGTGATTTTGGAGCCCCCCAAAATAAAGTCTGTCACTGTTACCACTGTTTCCCCATCTATTTGCCATGAAGTGATGGGACTGGATGCCACGATCTTCATTTTTTGAAAGTTGAGTTTTAAGCCAGCTTTTTCACTGTCCTCTTTCATGAACTTCATCAAGAGGCTCTTTAGTTCTTCTCCCATAAAGGTGGTGTCATCTGCATATCTGAGGTTATTGATATTTCTCCCAGCAATCTTGATTCCAACTTCTGCTTCATCCAGCCCAGCATTTTGCATGATGTACTCTGCATATAAGTTGAATAGACAGGATGACAATATACAGACTTGACATACTCTTTTCCCAATTTGGAACCAGTCTGTTGTTCCATGTGCAGTTCTAACTTGCTTCTTGACCTTCATACAGATTTCTCCAGAGGCAGGTAAGGTGGTCTGGTATTCTGATCTCTTGAAGAATTTTCCACTGTTGTGATCTACACAGTCAAAGGCTTTGGCATAGTCAATAAAGTAGAAGAAGATATTTTTCTGGAACTCTCTTGCTTTTTCAATGATTCAGTGGATGTTGGTGATTTGATCTCTGGTTCCTCTGCCTTTTTTAAATCCACCTTGAACATCTGGAAGTTCACGGTTCAGGTACTGTTGAAGCCTGGCTTGGAGAGTTTTGAAGATTACTTTGCTAGTTTGTGAGATGAGTGCAATTGTGTGGTAGTTTGAACATTCTTTGGCATTGCCTATCTTTGGGATTGGAATGAAAACTGACCTTTTCCAGTCCTGTGGCCACTGCTGAGTTTCCCAAATTTGCTGACATATTGCATGCAGCAGTTTCACAGCATCATCTTTTAGGATTTGAAATAGCTCAACTGGAATTACATCACCTCCAGTAGCTTTGTTTGTAGAGATGCTTACTAAGGCCCACTTGACTTTGCATTCCAAGATGTCTGGCTTTAGGTGAGTGATCAAGCCTTTGTGGTTATCTGGGTCATGTCCTTGCCACCTCGTCTTAATATCTTCTGCTTCTTTTAGGTCCATACCATTTCTGTCCTTTATCAAGCTCATCTTTGCATGAAATGTTCCCTTGGTATCTCTAATTTTCTTGAAGAGATCTCTAATCTTTCCCATTCTATTGTTTTCCTCTCTTTCTTTGCATTGATCACTGATCAATTGCATTGATCAGTGCATTATATACTCTGGGAAACCAAAAAAATTCATGTGACTCACTTTATTGCAATATTTGCTTTATTAGAAACAAAGTTGCAGCATCTTCAAGATATTCCTATTCATCTCCATGACTTATTCATTCTATAATTGAAATTTTGTAGTCTTTGATTCCCTTCACCCAGTTACTCCTTTTTTTTAATTTTTAAAAAATGCATTTATTTTTAATTGAAGGA